ATGTTGGATAGCTCTCGAATTGTAAAATCTACACAGACCTCTATCTCAAAGCATTTCTTTCACCGTCATGACCCCATTCGCCAACCAAAAATATTACTCTTATCCAAATTCTCTAACAAAACCATTTCGTTGGGAAAATCCCAGCGGGCGGTCACTGTGGCCCTGATTGTTGTTGGATGAAGCTGCAATAGTAAAATACACTCATTTCAGTGGTGTCGAGTAATGCAAGTAATACGGGAAATGGATGAAGGTCTACTACAGATCGACTTGCGGCACATGTCGCGTATAAGAGGTAGGTTTCCTATGGTTCGGCGCTCACATGACAAGAGTAAGGGTCGGGAAATACTTTGTAGTTCGGTTTGGAGTCCGAATATGGACTAGATACGTATAGATTGTGCGATCGTTGAGTGAAGTATAAACTCCTCAATGAATACGCTTGTTTTGCGCCATTTAACCTTTTATATGTTTCAGAAATTCTTGGCAATAATGGCCGGTTTCGGTTGATGACAGACGAAGGACTTTGTCAGCAGTTGCCGAAATGGATAGAACAGGTATGTTATTGATATTTGTAATGTTGTTAAAAATGTTTTTCATTTAATGTTTCGGTTTTCGCTTTATCACCAGGTGCTTAAAGTTCTATCCAGAAAAATTTGGACACATGGGAATATTCGGAAAAGGAAGGGAGCTGTCCAACACATTCAAACCACGACTAACATTTTCTTATATTAGGAACATTCAGAAAGTAACATTCACGTAACTCCCCATGTAAATGCGAAGTGCTTTACTCATGATCCCTCCTTCAAAATTGGGACTAGTGTAGTGTGCACGATCTGTTGTACCACATGCTGCCTCCGCTTATTCAGATAAACTTCTATTCTATTGTTTCTTCTTTTTCGTGTCGGAATTTCGTATGGTGACCTAATGTACAAGTTCGTGAGCAAGGTAGGCCTGGCAGTGTGCCCACGTACCGTCGTCATTTGTGGGGAGGGATTTCTCCATATTTCCTAGCGCTTTGAGGGAGCTGAAGCTGAGGGAGAAACCTCGATCGAAAACTACACCCTTCACCAGCGCTGCTGTGAAAGTGAAGAACTCTCGAATACATAAGTGCAATTTGAACAAACGTAACAAATGATTTTTTCAGTATTCGCCTCAGGAAGAGTTGGAATTGTCTGAAGTGAATCTGGAGCCCGAGATAGAAATTGAGGACGACTCTCTGCTAAGTGGATACGATTCAAATGTGTCGCTTGAACCGTCTCTACTTATGGATACGTTTCAAAACTACGCAATGGAGGTAGTGCTCTTTCACTGAGACTGCCTATTTCTTGTTGCATTATCCGGCTATATTCGAAGTTGTTTGCAGTAGCCACTACCGTTACGACTTCATGAGTGACCTCGAACCAAAAAGTAATATCGCTGTCAAAGGATAGTATTGTGTGTGCCAATTCAATGAGGCCATATTTTGTGCCTTTCGATAGCTGCGCAGTGTCGTCGCTTGATGACCGCAGCGCCATAGATTGTGCCTGCAGATTCCGTTAATTACGATTGTTTCGCTTGGATGTGTACGAGTTTTTAGAATGTAAAAGTTTTATTGTTATGTTCATTCTGCGATGTCACTAAGGTGGCAGCGAAATTTATTGTATATGGGCCGGTTTTCCAATCCTTCCCCCAGGGGGATATATCCCCCTACTCTGATTCAATCCTCTGGGGGGACAAAAAAGGGTTGCGTCATAGGACCTCGCATACCTCTGTGTTTCTACCTGCCAGACAGTTAGAGCAGCGCGACCCCTCAGGGGAAAGAGTGCTTCATCAGTGGAGGGTAGTAGCGCTGCTCTAACTGTCTGGCAGGTAGAAACACAGAGGTATGCTAGGTCCTATGACGCAACCCCTTTTTGTCCCCCCAGAGGATTGAATCAGAGGAGGGGGATATATCCCCCTGGGGGAAGGATTGAATACCGCCCCAGGAGCCGTGACCTTCACTATGAGTATACTCCACAGTGAAGATACCTCAAAAAGCTTATCTTGAGGAGGATGGGAGGTAAATTTAGGCATGAGAACTTGTTTGTTTAGGGCGTCCCAAAGATGACCCGTTGGCAGCTGGAGTAGGTGTCCGCGAAACGGGACCGCATAAGCCGATGTCAGACTTTGCGAATCGCGCGATTCGCTAGCGTCTGCGGTCGCGTCGCGGCCAGTGAATCACTCAATTGGCTGGTACCGCAACGCGACCGCGGACGCTAGCGAATCGCGCGATTCGCAAAGTCTGACATCGGCCTATGAGCAGAAAGCGATGAAATTGAAGTTCACGACCATTGTGACTCTTATGGTCATGCACATTTCTCTCAGTCCCCTAAGCTGCTTTTTTCCGAAATGTGGTTGCGTAATATTCATTAGAGCGCTCACTAAAGAAGGATTACACGATAACGTTGGGACGAAGAACGGGAACTCACCTAACGGGAAGACACGCGGGCCCTCAAGGGTGGGAACCGCCACACAATTCGCAGGGTAACGATTTCCCGCTGGCGATCTGGCTAGTCCGACCGCGGCGCTATCGCGCGGCATGCCCACAGACCAGCTAACCGCTCGCCGCAGGTCTCTGCCGTTTAGCAGAGAGCGTTGAAGAGGGTAGCACCGACGAGAGTGGCATCAACGGAAAATGAGGAGTCTCATTCCTGGTCTGGGCCGTTTCTCAAGGTTTTTTCTTTATCCCGGCACCACTGAGCACTTCTACTTTTATCCTAACGTGCTGCCTTCTAACTCCACCTTTAATCCTTTAGCGGATGGATAATGTTTTTATGTCTACGCGGGTAATTAGTCAGTGCTTTTCATACTTGGTTGAAATCGTTGGCAATACCTTGCGATCTGTATGTGGTCTCGGAACGGTGTTGTCGCCCTAAAGTTCCACAAAACATACTATCTCGGATTGATTCCCGAGGATAAATGACCAGAACATCGCCTAGGTTGCCTTTTGCAAATTTTCGAGCATATTGAATATTCTGGGCAGAGGTGATGAAGTGGCAAGCGACGCCACTTCTCACTTCTCACGCACAAGACTCGGGATACTAGGTCGTATGCCGTCCAGTCCAGCTTGGCTTTTCATTCCTTTGAGTCGGTCGACTGGTACCAGACTTGTCTGAGAAGGATAAAAACATTTGTACGTCGGCTGGCCCCCTTAATCCATTGTATAGGCTGTACCTCGTCCAAATGCCATTACTATTCGGAATGGGTGTAGAATGCTGGCGTATTCCGAAGCGGAATTGATTAATGTCGAAAGCTCTTTTGAATATTTTCGACCTATAGTATAAGAAAATGTTCCATGCTCAGAGGATCCGACGTAATGATCGGAACGCTTTATAGGTGTTGGTAAGATCGCATCCGAGATCGTGAGCGAAAATAGAAGTAAATCTAAGATTTTTCGTTAGTGGAAAGCATTCTTTTCATAAGACATCATCGTTTTTCAATACTCATCATCTTGGTCTTCAGTAATCGTTTCATTCGATATCTGCAATATGCACATGAAGCTCGAAAGGGAGATACGGTAATGCCGATGACGATTAGTACCTCTTCATAGTCCTTTTCTAAGGCAGCCAAATCTTCACGAGCCTCATAGAATTCTCCTTCTTCCATTCCTTCGCCAAGATACCT